GTGGTCTGGTTGAGTGCTTATCCCACAGCGCCACACCAGGACTCCTGAAATTCTCATCTTAGTCTGTTTTCTGGGGAATCCAAATGAGACTGGGTGTGAATAAATATGCCTGCTCCCTCCCAAGGCCACACAGCAAGGCAATGAAGCACAGCCAGGATTCAAACACAGACCACTGGCCCTTCCATCGGGGACATCCTCCTCTAGGTGACCTTCTCAGGGTACAGTCCCCATTTCAGAAGTGGAAAGACTCAGGCTCCAAGAGGTTAACATCACTCCTAGAAGTCCAGGCTTCCTGAAGGGCGCTTTGCCCATACCCCATCAGTCCGCAGCCCCCAGTTCCCAGGGTGGAGACTGGAGAGGGAGAGACTTTCTCCTGCCAGATCCAAGATGGAATCCCTGCCGTGTCCTGCCTGTTGCCCTTCATCGGCTGCTGCTCCTTTTGTGGTGTTATTTGGGTTTTAATTTTTGTGTTGCATTTAGAAAATTACCCATAATGACAGCTTATGAAAGGAAAAGCCTGGAAGCACAGACTCTGCTCCCAGCTGCAGCTGAATCCATGCAGGCTGGGGAAGAGCCACAGGGGCCCCGCCAACTCTGTCTCAGCCTCTCCCAAAGCTCCTGACTTGAATGAGGAGATGAAGGTTGTAGCCAGCTCCTGCAGGGAGGAAAGTCCACCCTCCCACTTTCCAAAGACTCCCTCAGCCAGTTCTCACAAGGAATATCTAAGGGCCCCCCACATCTGTGTTGCTGTAGGGGAACAGATCTAGAAGAAAGCGGATCCACTGACTCATAACTTAATGCATTCATTATTTTATCATTACAGCTACAAATCCAACAAAGACTACTGCGGAACCAATAATCAGGCCAAGGAAGCCAGGGTAGGAGGAAGCAGGAAGGAGGGCTAGGAAGAGGAGGGGAAAGAGGAATAAAGGGTGAATGGCAGGAGAAGGAGGATGAGGAGGAGTGGCGATACTATTGGGGACCAAGAGCAGAGCAGAAGGAAGCTAGAGAAAGAGTGCATCAGGCGAAGGCAGGCATGTGCAAAGGTCCAGGGGTGGTTTGGGAAATGAAAGGGCTGGAGGTGAGTGCTGAAGGGAGAGATTGGTCCCTCTTCTGGGCAGACTCCCTGCTCCATGAAGCCTGCTTTCCCCTCAACTACCATCTCAACTCAGTGGGACTGGAGGTTTGGGGAATGCCTGTGGTGGATAACTGGCATTTCTGAAGCAGCCACATGGCAAGTAGCCAGAAGCTGTGGAAGAGATTGCAGGTCTGGGATTCCACCTTAACCCTAGTCTTCTTCACTTATTGCCTTCCAATACCCTTTTCCCACCATGTTCCTAGGCCTAAATCTGACCCCCTGCCCGGGCCAAGGCCCAGGCCCAAGGGCTCCCTCCTTGCAGCCTCCAGGGCAGCCACAACAGTTCTTACACTCTCCATGGCTGCCCACGAGAGCTGTTTAAAATCACGATTCAGATTCTGCTTCTACTTGGCTCCAAACCCTCCCATGGTTCCCCACTGTTTCCAAAACAAATCCCAAAATCAATTCACCGCTGTCTCTTGCCTCCTACCCCTATCCCAAAGGATTCCATCCCTATGGAAGCTTCGCCCTCTGCTCAAGTCACACCAGTCTCTTCACCCTTCAACACCATGAGTATGTTTCTAACCTCAGGGCCTTTGCACGTCTCTCATCTTCTGTTTAAACATTCTACTTCCAGATCGTTCAGACCCATCCCACTATTTATTTTTAAATAGCTTGATTTGAGATATAATTCATACAGTTTGCCCATTTAGAGTGTGTGATTCAAAGGGTTTTTTTTATATATATACTTATTCACAGTTATGCTCAAACCACCACTACAATCAATTTTATGACATTTCATCCCCTCCCAAACAAACCCTTTAACTATCAGCCCTATCGTCCCCTTCTCCTCCAATCCCTGGCAACCACTAGTCCACTTTCTGTCTCCATGGATTTGTCTGTTTTGAATATTTCATATAAATGGAGCCATATAATATATGGCCTTTTGTGTCTGACTTCTTTCACTCAGCATGTTTTTGAGGTTCATCCATGTAAGCAGACTACTAGAGTGTCATTCCTTTTCATAGCTATGTAACGTAATTCTCCAATGTATGTATGGACTACATTGTGTTTGTCCCTCTACTGATGGACATGGCTTATTTCCACATTTTTGGCTTTTGTAAACAGTGCTGAAATGGACATTCGTACACAAGTTTCTGTGTGGACGTATGTTTATAGTTCTCTACACCTAGCAGTAGAGTTTCTGGGGCATGTGCCGACTCTGTTTAATCATTTGACGAATTGTCGGGCTGCACCGTTTCGTATCCCACCAGCAGTGGATGAGGCTTCCGATTTCTCCACATCCTCACTAGCACTGGCAGTTGGTATCTGCCGTTTTGATTCTAGCCTTCCTCGTGGGCGTGAAGTGAAATCTCATTGTGGTTTTGATTTGCATTTCCCTGATGACTAATGTAACCCCCTTTATTTCTAACATTTTCCCTTTTCTCCTCATTTCCCCCCGTAAGGGAGGAGGGATTTTTTTCTGGGTTCTGATAGCGCAAAGGGATCACTCGTGTTGGTGTGCGCGCTCCTCTCGACTCTTCCGCCGCCCCGTGGGGCCGGGCTCACTCTAGCCGACTTTTCCGCTGGCGCCCGCGGTGTTTGGAGACCCGGCCCCGTTACCATGGGAACGGCGCCTCTTGCTCCCGCCCGCCTGCCGTGCCTCCCCCACGTGCCCACAGCCTTCTCTGCGGCCGCCGCCCTCCTCCCCCCAGCCGTCAGCCCCGCTGTGCGCAGCCTCCCCACCTGAGAGCTACCCTCCCCACCCCTCCCCGTCCAGCACGTGGCATGCTCTGAAATGATATTCCCGAAGGGCCTCCCCCATTGGTCTGCTCTAAGAGGGGTAGTAACGTGCCCCGGCTGCACACTATAGGCACTCAGTATATGTTCGCAGGCTAGATGAAGATTCCACAGCTCAGAAGGCGAGGGACCCAGATCCGGGAAACCAGGGAGGGAAAGCCGTAGAGTGTTGAAAAATCAATGGAAGACTAAGGAGAGAGTTCTAGGGGCGTCTGTCACCTAAGAAGCTGTAACTCGCACCTGCCACACCCTCTGTGCCCCGGGGGTGAGGGGTGGGGGGAGAAGCGCTGGAGAAACAGGAATGGGAGCTGCTGTTACTAAAAATGAGGTGCTGCTTGGCCGCCTGAGCCCCCCGGTGACACTGGACAGGAGGCAGCCTACCCCGACCCCCATAAGTGTACAGTGAGGCAGCCCCTTCACGTCTGCTCCGCTGAGTGCCCCAAGTAGAGGAAGCGGGGGAGGGGGTGGTGGCTGGACGGGAAGTGGGAAGGCAGGCCAGCGTCCGCCCCTGGCCGGGCCCCCCCGCAGGCGGGGAGGAGGCGTGGCTGGGCCGTCTGCCCTTCCCTTCCTCTGCTGCCCTCCGGGAGGCCTGGGTGGAGGCAGCCTCTGTTGAAGAGCCCTGCTAGGGAGAAGACTAGCAGTGGGGAAGGGGCGCTTCCATCGAGACAGAAACCCACACACAACCCGGACACACACACACACAACAAATCTCCAGAAGCCACGCCCTGCCCTCTCATGGAAGTCCACGCGCACTCACACGCACACAGCTAGTGAAACCTGAAGGACTCAACGTGAGGATACCTTACTTACACACTCAACATACACACCCACAACCCACCCATACACACACCCCGGCTTAGGAAAACTAGCTATAATCACAGACAGAAACGCCCACGAGTGACAACCGGGCAGCCCAGTCCCACCACATCCAGGCACAGGGCTTTTTCTGGATCCCAGGGACCCCTTTTCTAGAGGGGGCCCATCTCCAGTGTTCTCCACTCTGAATACCTCTTGGGGGCTGGTCCAGAATGGCAGCCCAGGGTGTATACCCACTTTACAGATGGCAATACTGAGACTGTGAGGCAGTCCGCTGAGTGGCCTGGACACCCGTGGGCAACGCACCCCCCCCCAAGCACCCACTGCTGTCACCTGTGCCTGCGTTCGCTCTTGTCTTCTGTGAGTGTCCTTCTGTGACCATGTATGCCTCTGTGTGTTGAGGGCTGGGTGTGTGTGTGCTTGAGGTGGTGATGATCTGTCCTGAGCCTCTGCATGGGGGCTGTCTGTATGTGTGTCCCTGGTGCACTATGTGTGGTCGCCACCTGGGTTGGGTGTGAGTAGGTCTATAGGAGGGTGCCCCAACGGTGATTGGGACAGTGGATCTTGTGGCTGTGCAAATATATTTGTGGGATGAGTTGGTTCCGACTCATAGCGACCCTGTATACAGTATCCAAGGAGCATCTGAACCGCAGACCTTGTGGTTCAAACGGGCTTTGAAGTCCCATGCTTTAGCCCACAGTGCCACAGCTCCGACCAATTGCTGATGTACAGCAATTTGGGTGGCAGAGCCTCTTGGTAGTGTGTGTATGTGTGTGTATAGCTGTATGCCCCAGGGTAGCCGTCCCCACTCATGTTTATGCGTGCAGCTGTGACTAGGTATGTGCACGCCTGTATGATCTTAGGTGGCTGTCCACACTGGTATCTGCCAACTTATACAGTTGCGTACCCTCTCTTTCCCTGTGGCAGGAACCACGCGTGAGTGCCCCTCCCCTAGCCAAGGCAGGCGGGGCCCACCCATGCTCCAAGCCGCCGCCATTGCCCCTTTAAGAGCGGCAGCCGCGGGGCGGTGGGGGAGGTGGCGGCGGGCGGGGGCGCGCGCAGAGGGGGGAGCGCGCTTCCCGGAACAGCCGGCGCTGAGGGAAGCTGGAGGAAAAAAATAAAACCCGCGCAAGGGCCAAAACTGGCGACGCTGCCGCTACGAGCTCCCCCACGCGGAAGATGCCCGTGGCGGGCGTGCAGAGCTGGGCGCTGTGAGGCCCTGAGCGCAGGGTAGTCATGGCGACGGCGAGCGCAGCCTGGGGCGCCGCCTGACAGGTGTGGGCCCGGCGGGACGGCGCAGAGCAGCATGTACGCCAAGGGGGGCAAGGGCTCGGCCGTGCCCTCCGATAGCCAGGCCCGTGAAAAGTGAGTGGGGCCGGGCGACACCGGGCGCGAGACTTCCGTGGGTTCCGACGCCGGCGGCGGGCGGGTGGGTACGCACGGGGCACGTGGGCGCGGGGTGGCGGTCTTGTGCGGGGTCTCGAGACTTGCAAGCACGCGCGAGACCCGAGGGGCGAGGAGTCGCGAGACTTGTGGGGGCGCTAGAGTTGAGGGGGCGTGAGGGACCTGATGGGCGTGAGATTTGGGCAGGGGCGCGAAATTTGAGGGGTGTGAGAGATCTGGGGGCGCGGAAAATCCGAGGGGCCTGAGAGACTCGAGGTCTTGGAGCAGTTGATGGGGATGGGGGACTTGTGGGGCTCCAGATTTAAAGGGGTGGGAGAGACCTGAGTGGACTTAAGAGTTGAGGGAGCGCGGGACCCGAGGGGCATGAAGAGCACCGCTTGGGGCAAGACTTGTGGGATGCGAGCGTTTGCACCACCCGGTGGGCGCTGCCTCCTGCAACCTGGGGGGAAGTTTAATGGGTGAACTACGACTCCGAGAGGCCAGAGGGACACCGGCCACCTACCCTGTTGGGGCAGCTGTGAATCGGGCCCTCTGGGGCTTGGAGAGCTGGGAGGTTCCTGGGTTCAGGATCTGGGGGTCCTGATGCTGAGACCCCAGCGCTCAGGTTGTAGGCGCAGGTCTTCAGCACTTTGAGGTTGGTTGGAGGACTGGACAATGAGGCAGACGGTGAACCCCGAGGCTGGACCCTTCCTTGCTCCTACCCTGCCTTTGGGCTCCCTTGACTCCCCTGGGTGCAGCATTATTAACGCATCTTGGAAGAGGTTCTTTAGAAGGAAAAGATCCCGGAAGTTGGGTGGGGTTGGGGGGCAGCCACGTGGAGGATTTCCCAGGGTGTTTGGGAATGTGACCTCTAGGGTTTGGGTAGTGATGAGCAGCCTCTATGCCGCTGACCTCTGACTCTCAGACCTGCCTCATCTTGCCAGAGCTGACCCTGAAGAATGTTGCTCCCTCTGTCCAGCCCCAGGGTCATTTGGAGGAAAGACTTTATGGCGAGAAGATACTGCTCTGCAGGTTCCCTTGTCGGCTGCACAGCTGGGGGGGTGGGGGGTGGTGCTCCATTCCCAAGTGTGATAAGCTCCAAGAATCTGGACTGACTGGCACCTGGTGTTATTCAAGTTGGAAGAAGGGAGTGTCGCGCATGAGCATGGTCACCCCTTCCCTGGGGGTCTTATGTCAGTAGCTTCAGCCCCTATGGCTCTGCCCAGCCTCAAGACCTTTTTGCACCATCTGGAGGCACAGGTGGGAGCCAGTCACTGTTCAGAGTGTGGTGGTCAAGAAAGAGGCCCCCAAAGCTGAGGAGACCACATTGTAGGAGGGAGGCGGGCGCTGAGGAACCCAGACAAGCAATGAGGGTAGTTCCAGATCTGGAGAGGTGCTGGTAGGGAAACAGTGGGGACATGGGATATAGTGAAGCATGAGAAGGGGTCAACTGAGCAGAGATGGGGCAGCGAGCACCTCATGTGCAAAGGCCCTAGGGAAAGGCTGGGAAAGGAGGAACACCTCATGTGGAGAGGCCCTGAGGAAGGCCTCCAGTAGCTACCTCACTCCCATTTGGGGAGGAGATAAGGAGCTGGGGGCTGTGAGCAAAGGGCTCCTAGAAGTTGTCACCTTGGCCTGAGGTGGTAATAAGAGAAAAGAGAAGCAGAGGGGACAGTAGGTTTGAACTGAGATGCTGAATTTGGAGTTCCATTTTGACCCTGGTGGACCAAGAGAGACATCAGCTCATCTGGGTTCTGGAAGTGGGGGGTTCATGTGACCCTTTCCCCCCACTTCCAGCTCCCCTGAGGGGCTTACAAGATACTGCATTCCCAGCACTCCCTTGGCTCTGGCTGGGAGGTTGGGATTCCCTTCTTCTCTGGAGCCATCCACTTCATGCAAAGGGGCCTGTGTAAGCACCAGGTTCAAGATAGGAATGCTACTTCTGAAAGAAATTTGGGAAACAGATGTTTGAGTCCCCCACTTCACTGACGATGCTGAAGCCCTGGACTAAGCGACCCTGAGGTGTGTGACCTCCTTGTTAGAGCGGACTAAGAGGGTTTGCTCTGAGCCTCAGTTTTGTCATCTGAGATGTGGGCCCCTGCCTGTGAGGACTCTCACAAGGTGACATATTTAGGATGGAGGCCAGGCACTATCAGCCTTAGGAAATGTCAGCCACTGTCCGAGCTACTTCCTGTCTGGACCTTGGTTTCCTCCTCGGTGAAGTGGAGTTAAGGTCCTAGGGCTCAAGTCCACAAGTCCCTGACTTCTCTGGAGGTTTTTTTCCCTCTCTGCTCACCCTACCACCACCTAAAGTGAGCTTGCCTTTCCGTCAGAAACCCTGGGTGAAGCAGGTGTGTGCTCAACAACTAGCTGAGAGGGTATCTTAAACCACTCCAGAGGTCCCTCAGAAGAAAGGTCTGGTGATATGCTTCTGAAAGATCACATTCTTGGAAATCCCTGTGGAGCAGTGAATTTCACTCCACACCCATAGGTTAGCCTGAGCCTGCAGTAACTAACAGTAGCTTTCTCCTCTTCCCTCTCTGACCCCAAACCCCAACTCCCTGTTGACATGCCATGGGGGTTTACTGGGGTCACCCTATCTCAGTCTGGTCCAAAAAGGGTTCAAGTACTGGCCGATGCCCTACCCTTCAAGGCTCACTGCAGATGGATGGTAACATTAGGCCAGGCAGCATGGTGAGGTGAGGGCAGGGATGAGAGGAGGCTGGGATCTGGGGCCCCCTCTTCCCCTCAGGTGCTGGCCTCTCCTTTGAAATGTGAACATCTGTAGCCTACAGGGGAGCCCCAAGGGCTATTGGGCTTGGGCCATTTATAATACTAAGATAAAGTTGAAGCCCCCTTACCTCCTCCTTGTCCTTTCTTGCCCCTGAGTCTCTGCTCTTAGGAATGGTGATGGTGGTGTGGTCTCTCTATTGCTCAGTGTTGAATGTTTACTGTGTGTGTGTGTGTGTGTGAGAGAGAGAGAGAGAGAAAGAGAGAGACATTCTCCTGTGCCCAGGCCACTGCAGCTCTGCTCTGAGAGCAGGGAGGAAACAGTGCTCCAGCTTTGTTCCTGGGGGCAATGAGACCATGAGAGGTGGAGGGTCAGGAGTGGCAGGGAGACCACTTAGGGACACTGGAGTCCCACAGAGACGAGGGGGATGATTGGTATAAAGACCCTGCGGTAGCACAGTGGCCGAGTGTGTGTACACCAGGGCGAGAACACAGTCCCTCTTGAGCCAAGCTGGTAGTATCTGTGACCAGTCAGATGGGGGATGAGGAGTGGATGGGAGCTGCAGGAGGTATTATCAAAATGGAGTGGGAGGTTACTGAGGAGAGAGGAAGGGAGCCCCAGGGGGTGTCCAGGAGCTATGAGAAGGGGTTCCGCAGCATGAAGCCCTTTTGAGCCTTGCTGCTGCTTATGGCCTCCTCCAGTAGCCCTGACTTGAGGCAGGAAGTGTGGAGAAGGCACTACACAGAACCTCAGTCTTCTGCCCCCAATCCATTTTCCTTCCCCAAAGCCCTGGGGCCCCAAGCCTCCCATGGGAAGGAATGTGTCCCAGCAGCAGGCAGACTGAGAGAAGGGGGCGGCTAGAGGGGTCATGGGCTGAGAGCCTTCTTGTGCAGCTGTGCAGCTAGGGGTGCTCAGATCCCACCCACACCCCTGACCCTTGGTGGCAATAGTAGTTCATTTGTGTCAGGCAGCCAACTTGCCTTGTGAATCTTGGCCTGGGCCCTGGGCAGGGTTCTGTCCTCTCTGCCCCCATCCCCCTCTACCGGACTTACAACCCCAGTCCTGGCTCAGGACACTCCACAGTACATGTGGTTTGGTTTACTAGATCGCATCTTTCTGTCCCTGCACCGCCCCATGAGAGTGTGACTTCCAGAAGGGCAGGGGTCTGGGTCCCATGGCTCCCAGCACTGCACAGAGGAAGCTGCGCTCAGTCAGTGTTCCAGAACAGATGAGTGGGTGGGTGGACAGATGGACAGGTGCAGGGGAGGAGAGGAGTGGAGAGGTTGAAGGCAGAGCCAGGTAGGAGGGGGTTAGGGACAGGAGGTGGGACTGAGGAAGGAGGGACGAGGGCTGGAGCCACCTTGGGCTGATGGAGCTCTGGGAAGCTGAGCGCCAAAGTGGGTGTCAGACATGAGGCAGTAACTGGAAGAAGCCTGCTGGGAGAGCAGGACTGAGTCAGGGGAAGGTTATTTTCAGACGGGGCGCTGCCAGCCAGGAGGGTGGGCTGAAGATTGGTGGAGGCAGCAGCACTGAACTAGAGGCTGGAGGCTGGAAGGGCCTCAATGCAGCTTCCTGCCTTCAGCATCCAGCCTCAGGCCAGCACTTGGGGAGCCCCAGCCTTGGGGTTACAGGGCTGGAAGAGCCTAAGGGCTAGAAAAGCCAGGGCATGGACAAGGAGGACAATGTTCCTGCTATCCAACCCCTGAGGTCGTATTTCCACTTTGGGTAGACAGTAGCTGAGGAGGTATGCAGACCACCCCCCTGGTGGCCACCTCTGGGGTCTCTCAACGGGCCAGACAGCCATTGCCTTGTCCAGGAGGAAGTGTTGAACAGAATTCAGTATGCAAGTTGGGGGTTGGGGCTGGAGTTCCTAGAAGGGCTACTTAGAGAAGGGGTCCTGCAAGAAGGGTTTTGATAGGTACATAGGAGTTGGCCCTGTTAAGCAGCAAGTAAGAAGGCCATTTCCTGTTAAAAGGGGCGCACTGGGGTCCCAGGTCAGGGTGAGCCAGAGATGCTGTTCATGGGGAGAGAGGGGGCACAATGAGGGGCTGAGTCTGAGCCTCCACCCCTCCCCCCCAAGGTTGGCCTTATACGTCTATGAGTATCTGCTACACGTGGGAGCCCAGAAGTCAGCCCAGACCTTTCTGTCAGAGGTAAGCGGGCCCTTCCCTGCCTGCTCCCTTCTCTCCCCCTAACTTAGGAGCTCTGGAAGGGTGGGTACTATCGGGTGGGGAGGGTGGGCCTCCTGTCACCTGCCTTCTTTCTCCCTGCAGATTCGATGGGAGAAGAACATCACATTGGGAGAGCCCCCTGGATTCCTGCATTCCTGGTGGTGGTGCGTGTGAGGGCAGACACGTACTCAGAGCAGGGGTGGGGGGCACAGGAGCACGGGAGTGTGGGCCTGAAGGAACTACGTCCCATCCTGCCTCACAGTGTGTTCTGGGACCTGTACTGCGCAGCACCGGACCGGAGGGAGGCCTGTGAGCACTCCAGTGAGGCCAAGGCTTTTCAGGACTACGTGAGTTCAGCGGGGTGCTGGAATCCTGGCTCCTCCTGGGGGGGCTTCCCATGCTCGGCCCATCCCTTCACCCCTCAGCCCCTGCTGCCCGGGGACAGGGTAGCTGATAGCACTGGGTTAGGCCTGGAGCGATGATGTTTCCCCCAGCACCGAGAGCTCTAGAGACACCTACTGAGGCTGTTTGCTGATGATACCTCTCTGGCTTTAGTTTCCCCCATGGCTGAGTGAAGTTCAGACCATCTTGGAGTAGAGGCTGAGGGTGACAATAGCAGATGGCAGCACCTCCCTTTAACCTCTGCTCTATGCTCTAGCCCAATCCTCTCAGCTGCTGGTGGCATCTTTGCATTTCCAAGCTATGAGGGGGCCTCCTCAGGCCTCTTCTTGAGTGTGGGTTCGAGGGGGGTCATCACACTGGCCTCTTACCCTCACCCTAGAGGAAACCCTGAAGTCTTACCAGCTAGGAGCCGCCCTCAACCCTGCCTGAAGTGCAGACCTGGTGCACCCATGGGGTGATGGTGGTTATGTGCTGTGGAGTCGGTTCCGACTCATAGCGACCCTGCACAGGGGTTTCTTTACGGGAGCAGAAAGCCTCATCTTTCTCCTGCGGAACAGCTGATAGTTTCGAACTGCTGACCTTGAGGTTCGCTGCCCTATTCGTAACCAGTGTGCTACCAGAGCTTCTTGGGGAGCTTCTTGAAGACGCCGCCACCCGCCACCCTCGCCTTGTGGGCTGGGGGACGGATGGTCACTGGCTTTCCTGTTCATCCCTCTCTGGTCCCATTCCCTTTCCCATGGGTATCTGAAACCCCGAGGGCATGGGTGCCTCCACGTCAGCCCAGCTCTTCCACATCCCAGCTGAGCCCCGGCTTCCTCCATGTCTCTCTTGGGGTCTTTTGGGCTCTGCTCCTGGGTTTCTGCCCGGCATTGAAGCAAGCGTTCTTCCCGCAGATGCGCACCGGTTGTCATGGCAGCGCCAAGGCGTCGGGGAGAGGGCGCTAGAATGAGGAGTCAGGGTCCCCGCGGGCGCGGGCGGAAGCTCAGCGTGCATCCTGCCGAGCCCCGCTGCCCGGGGGGGAGGGGCCCCCGCCGGTCCCCCTTCCCGTCCCCCACCGCTCCCGGGACTCCGGGACTGACCTTGGTGTCTCCAGGAAATGCGAGCGCGCCCAGCTTGTTGTCATGGCAACGTGGGCCCCGGGCCGGGAACCTCTAGAAAGCTAATGTGGGGGGGCCAGCCTGCATCTGTGGTGGAATGGGCGTGGGAGCGGCTTGGGCCAGGATGAATCCCGCAGGGCCGAAAGTTGGTGGACGGGCCATGGGGGCTTAGGAGGAGGGGGTCTGTGCACCAGTTCCCCTCCCAGATCTCACCCTGCTGCCAGCACCGACCAGGAAATGCTCCAGCGCCTGCTTCGACCTAAAGTGGGGCTGCCTGACCCAGGGCTCCAAGGTGTCCTAGGCCGGCTGGGGTGTTTGTGGGGGAGGGCAATAAGGGAGGTGCTCATTGAAATCAGGAAGCTGTGACTCCACCGCCCCCAGGTCTCCGTGGGCTTTCACTGGATTTCTGCTGGGCCCTAAGGAGCCCTCTATCATGTGGGCTTGTGGGGGCTGCCCCCAGTCGCGACCCCAGCTTAGTTGGCCTTGGTGGTGGGAGGTTTACAGGATCGCCTTGGGGGCGGGGCAGAAAGGGGCCTGGTTGCAGTGGGGGGTAGGAGGGAGACTCTGCCAGGGCCCTGCTCTGAGCAGCTGAGGGGCCTGGCTGAAGGTTGGCTCCCCTTTCCCCTCAGTGACATGGCGCTGAAGCCCTCAGTGCTACTGTACTGCTGGACATGGAAACAGCAGTGCCACAGACCAGCTTCCCACCAACCCTAGTCTGGCAGGGTACAACAGCAGAGGGTTCGGAGATCCTTGGAGATGAATTCCCCATTTTGGTCTGCGGTGCCCCTTCCCTCCTGAGATACATTTTTCTGGCTGCAAGTTAGTGCCCATGGAGTCCTGGTGTGAAATCCTATACAGGGTCACTGTGAGTCATAATGGACTCAAGGGACCTTAATGGCGAGGCAGGGTGTTCAGCAGTTGTTTTGATTTGGGGTGTGTTGGGTAGAGCTAAGGAGCCCTAATAGCTGCTAACTGAAAAAGATGTGGCCTGCTTCCCTAAAGCTTGGAAACCCTATGGGGCAGTTCCACGCTGTCCCATGCAGTCACTATGAGACCAAATGGACTCAATGCAAAGGATTCTTTTGGATTTGGGGTAGAGCTAAGGACCCCTGCAAAGCCGTCCTAGCAGCTAGGAGGAGGGTTGGTGGGTATAGGAGGTGAAATTTCAGAGTCCTAGAATTCTTTCTGCATACTAATGAGGGTAGGGAGCCCCTGCTTGATGCAAACAGTTAAGCACTCAGCTGCTAACCATGAGGTTAGAGGACTCAGTTGAGTCCACACAGAGATGCTTTGGAAGAAAGATCTAGTGACGCATTTCTAAAAACTCAGCCACTGAAATCCCTATGAAACACAGTTCTACTCCTGATATGTATGCAGTTGCTGTAAGTTCAAGAAGGTGAAGACAGATAAAGTAAGAATAAGTGCTTGCTTGAATAGACCAGGGTCTTCCAGTAACTCTGACTCAGCAGTTTGGTCAGAGGCCCTGCAGTTTTATTGAGTGTATTTCTAGACTCAAGGACCCCCTCAAGCTTGGGAATTTCACAAGGTTGGGCCCTAGACCTTCTCAGCCAGTCCAGGGTTGTGAAACCAGTGTCCCCTCTGGGGAAGGCCTGCCATGTGGTGCCTAGGTCAGGTGACCAAGACTTCACTTGCACACCAACAGCTGCCCACCTCTGTCCCTGAGAGTTTGGCCTCTCTCAGAGAGGAGGGGTATCCCAGAGGATCTGGCCTAACTTTCCCCTCACCATCTCCCGCACCCTGCAGAGCACTGCAGCAGCCCCCAGTCCTGTGATGGGGAGCCTGGCCCCCAACGATGCCATGGCACCCGGCTTCTTCCAGGTATGACTGAGGGTTGGGCCCCCCTGACCCTTGATAACTCAGTAGGCTATGGCAGACAGGAGTTGGACACGGAGAGCCCTGTGGCTGGCCATGTGAGACTCTAGGGCATTGGGGCAGAAGAGTGAGGCCATGTTGCCCTCAGGATGGGGCCAGAGGGGTCACCATGCTCCTGGGACAGAGAGCAGGGCCATCTACCCCCCATATCCATGTCACTCCCTCTCCTTCCCTGGTTGTCCTAGCATGGCTGCAGGACACAAAGGGACTTTGGAGTGACTGTGTTCCCCCAACCCTCCTGGTTCTGTCGTCCTAGGGCCCCCCCAGTTCCCAGCCGCCCCCCCACAACCCCAACACCCCTATGATGGGGCCTCATGGCCAGGTAAGAACCTGCAGCCCGCGCTAGCACACACACGCCCCTCCCCTGCTCACTGTGCTCCCATGCACCAGGTCCCCCACTGGCCCTGGAGGGATTGCCAGGCTTGGGAGTCCTTGCAAACGGGAACAGGGTATGTGGGCATGGTTGTGGGGAGGTGCTGACACCCCTGCCCACCTCTTCCAGCCCTTCATGTCACCGCGGTTCCCAGGGGGCCCCCGGCCCACCCTGCGGATGCCCAGTCAGGTGAGAGAGATGGGGGGCAAGGAGGGCCAAGGCTGGGAGGGTGGGAACACCCCAGACTTAGTGCTGCTCCCCCCCTGCAGCCTCCCATTGGGCTTCCTGGCTCCCAGCCGCTCCTCCCCAGCACCATGGACCCCTCTCCGCGCGCACAGGGTGAGTAGGGATTCAGCTGCCGTCCTCTCCCCTCATCCATAAGGACCCTACCTTTGGACCCCTTCCCTGTATACAGCGTGGTCCCAGACTGAGCCCCCTTCTCTTTTGTCCTAGGGCATCCGAGCATGGGTGGTCCCATGCAGCGGATAACACCTCCCCGAGGCATGGCCGGTGTTGGGCCCCAGGTAAGGCTGACCCAGGTGGGAGACAGCTTGAGGGGCTGTGACCCCTATCTGCCATTACCCCCTACACATGGTCCCTTCACCTTGGCAGAGCTACGGAGGCGGCATTCGACCCTTGTCTAACACCCTCGCTGGCCCTGGGCTGCCCACCCTGAACATGTAAGATCCCAGGAATGTGTACACTCCTGCCTGCTCACATGCCCCACTGCCCAGCCTGGAGATGATTGTGCTGGGGTGGGCCTAGATTCTGAACATTGCTTTGTCTATGACTCAGGTGGGGAAACAGAGACCCAGAGCTGTAGTCAGTCCCCCATGGCCATGAATGGTGGATTGGAAGCAGCCCTGTGACCATTGGTCAGCCTGCTTTTCTCCTGGCTGCACATGGACAGGTGGGGGTTGGTGTGGGTCAGGAGCTGTGCATCCAATGTCTTTCCTAGGGGTCCAGGAGTACGAGGCCCATGGGCCAGCCCCAGTGGCAACTCGGTGAGTCCCAGCCTAGGTGGGTGGGTGGGTGGCTCCAGCCCACCATCCACACCCTTACTCATTGCTGCTCCCTCTCCTCAGATCCCGTACTCTTCATCCTCGCCTGGCAGCTACACGGTGAGTGGGGCACCCTCAGCCTAGAGGGTGGGGTGGCAGATGGGGGAGCCTTTCTCACCTCCCCATTTGTCCAATGTACAGGGACCCCCTGGAGGAGGGCCTCCCGGAACACCCATCATGGCCAGCCCTGGAGGTAACACCAAAGTAGGGTACTGGCCTGGAGGGAGACCCCTCAAGCTTTCATCTCCTCACTCTGCCCTTTGCCTCTTCTAGACTCCAACTCCAGTGAGAACATGTACACCATCATGAACCCCATTGGGCCCGGAGCTGGCAGGGCTAACGTGAGTGTGGGGCTCTAGAGGGTTCTAGGGGAGCTGGGTCTGCAGTCTCCAATGAGTTCATCCTGACCCCACGCTGCCCTTATACCCGTAGTTCCCGCTGGGCCCCGGCCCGGAGGGCGCCATGGCTGCCATGAGCGCGATGGAGCCACACCACGTGAACGGATCCCTGGGTGAGTGGGCTGTACCAGGAAACTCCCCTGGCCGCCCCCCCTCCCCCCGCACTTATGTGTTTCCCCTTGGGTTGCTGAGTGACAAGAGCTGGGGTGGAGGAGAATGCGTAGTGACACCTAGCACAGGTACCCATTGGCGCTTGTTCAGGCTGGGCACAAGCAAGTGGCTACAGTTCGGCTAGGGGAGGAACTGGAAAAGGTATCCGAAGGCCTCTTCTCCCCGCTCCCGCCCCCCCTCCCTCACGCGGGCAGACCGTGACTAGGCGCATCTGAGCCACGTTTCCATCTGTCTGTCCACAGGCTCGGGCGACATGGACGGGTTGCCAAAGGTGAGGGCTATGTCCTTGTGGCAGGCACGGCGCGGCAGGGGAGGCGGGATCTCGGTCGGCTTCAGTTAGGAGGCCTTGTCTGGGTGGCACAGTGGTGCCGGTGGTCTCTGAGTTTGAGGGCGGTTCCGCGGGTAGCACATCACGGGGAGAAGCCTTAGAGGTCAGGGTGCCCAGCTGACCGCGGCCACCCCCAGAGCTCCCCCGGCGCTGTGGCCGGCCTGAGCAACGCCCCTGGCACCCCACGGGACGACGGCGAGATGGCGGCTGCCGGAACCTTCCTGCACCCATTCCCGAGCGAAAGCGTAAGCGACTGCGTCGACTCCCCCCCCGCGGCGTCGTCGGGCCGGAGGGGCCTAGCGGGCAGACCCCGGCGGGGCGGCCGGGGGGCCAGAGCAAGACCGTGACCGCGGCGGGCCAGGTGGGGGGGCGGCCGCGGCACCTCTTCCCTTCCCCCATCCCTCCCCTCCCAGTACACTCCTACCCTGGAACCCGAGCCGAGCCCCTCTCCTGTACCCGTGCCCCACCTCCCTGTACCCATCTGGGACCTGAACCCACCCTGTCCTGCCCCCATTATCCCGGGAGGGAGGGGCGGGTCCCAGCCAAGGCCGGAGCTGAGCCTGCCCGCGCGTGCCGCCCTCCTTTCTCCGCAGTATTCGCCTGGGATGACCATGAGCGTGTGAGGGGCATTCGCCCCCCTTCCCCCTTGCCTCTGCCCAGTGCCCCTGCCTGGGGCCAGGTTCAGGTGCTTGAGGTCAGATCTCTGGCACCTGGACCCAGGCCAAGGCTTTGGCAGGCCCTCCCGCCCACATGAACTTTTCATTTTCTAAAAACAAAACAAAAAAACTCAAGGACCTCAGAGACCAGCTCTCCTGTACGGCCCCCTTCCCTCTGCTGTTTGTATTTGTCCAGTGGGGACTTATTGGAAGCCACCTCTCTCCCAGGATGGGGAGCATCAATAAATGTTAACTTGGTTTTGTGTTTTGGTACTCCTGTCTTGTATTTCTTTCACTTGTGGCTGCACCATGCACTCCCCTAACAAGCACGGGGAACTAGGACAAAAGCTGGGTTCTAAAGAATGGATGTAGAGTACCAGGTGGCAAGTAGATGCTGCAGAGGGGATGGGAGTAAACAGAACAAAGGACCTGCAGACAGAGGCTTTGTGGCACCAGTTTATTATCTTCCTTGGGGCCTGACAGTATTAGGGCGTGAGGGCAATAGGTTGAAGCAATAGGGTAAGAATGTGTGTGTGTGGCCGGCACAGCCTCAGGTGGTAGCTGTCTGCGGATGCCCATTGGCATCCCCTGTGCAGCCATTGGGGGCAGCAGGCACTGGTCCTTTCTTTCGAGGCACAGGGCAAGCCGCAGGCCCAGCACGCTTGAGCGCGGGATCTGGGCGCTCCATCTTGTGCTCCAACAACATGTGGTTCTGTGGCGGCAGACCTAGGCAGGCCCTGGGGGTGGCAAGGGGACTCAGCAAGGCAGGTCAGTGTCTGCGCCTCCAGCCCCCCAGCCCCGCACTGGCCTCCTCCCCACGTGCGCACACCTACACAGGAGCGCAGGAACACACTCACTTGAGGATATTCTCGATGCAGCTGCGCTGGCGGAAGAGCGCGTTGACCACAGGACTACCAGGAGGCACTAGCGGGGCTTTAAAGAGAAAGCCAAGCAGTGCCAGCACGGGGTGGAAGCCCTGTGGCTCGGGATCGGCGTCCGTACGGAAACTCACGCGTTGGCACAGCTCGGTCAGCAACACCAGGTCCAGCATGATGGGCGTGGCAAGCAGCGAATCCTGGGGGTGGGGTGGGGAAAGGTCGCTGAGTGGGCGGAGCCTCGGCAGGTCGACCCACCCCTCTCACTCGGCCCTGCCCCTGCACCTCGCATGTGTTGTGCAACACCAGTGTGTTGGTTCCGCCCATCATTAGCTCTGATGTGTACTCATCCAGCGCGCGTTTACTGTCGCCCACGTATGGTACATACTTGATCACCACCTGGAGGGCGCACGAGATTGGTGGCATGGGCCCGCTGTGCCCCAATCCGCCCCCACCTCCCAGTCCCCAGGTCCTCACGCACACAGTGGTCAGGCTCCTGGCCAGGTTCGTAGAGTACAGGGTTGCTGAGCACCATGTCATCCACCACGTTGCTCTTGGACACCTCCTTAGAGCGGAACTGAGATGGAGCCGACAGGTTCTGCCCATCGTTGTTGCCCAGGTGGTTGTAGCTCACAATGGACATTGTCTGAGGATGGCAACAAAATCCCGCGGTGTGGCCCAACCAGCACGCAGCTCCGAGACCCCCTCTCTATCTTGGTCCGTATTGCAACCCCTCTAACCTTGAGTCCAGAGCCAATGAGGAAGTCCACGAGCACCGACTTAACCTTGGTCTGGCCTGTCTTGAAGTCGTCCCCTCCCACGAAGACACGGTGCTGCCAGGCGAGCTCCAGCGCCCCCGGCACCAGTGTGTTTTGTGGGGACCCGTTGAGGAAAGCACAACCCTCCAGGATGCTGGCCACAGCAAAAAGCGTGGATGGGGACACCTCCCCGCCCTCCTGCAGGTGTGAGAGCATGTGTGAGAACAAAGGAGCTGCAGGCTCTGACCCATCCTCACCCTGCCCCAGTGCACTACCACCTCGATGGTTCGAAGCAGGTTCTCTGCTGTGTCATTTCGACCTGGGACCACGTCGCAAAAACGCTCTGTGTTCGCTGTCCACAGCACGATGACCTTGTCCAGCCCTTTGTTGGACCAGAAGTCTCGGATGTCTTTGCGTATCTGCTCCAGCTGAGGGGGAAATGGGGAAAGGTGGGAAGAGGGGAAAGCAGGGCCTTAATCTACTCCCCCCTACATTAAGTGAGGAGCGTGGTGAGGCAACAGGTAGGGATAGGGAAAATAAATGATGGGGGCAGGGGGCAGTAGGTGGGATGGGATAATAGGCAGGGAGAGGGAATAAAGGGCTGGAATGGTATTTTAAAAATGGGGTAGAGAAGACAGTTCGGGAACTTGATAGAGCTGGGCCAGAGGAGAGGCACCTGCTGCGCACGCGTGCCTGGAATGAGGTTGTCTGCACGCGCGCCCTGGTTGGCAGCGATAAACTCAGGGATGTAGACTGAGGGGCGCGGACGCAGAGTCTCCATGTGCGACCACAGCTGCTCCTGCAACCCCCAGTCCAGGACTTGCGCGCGACGCATCGCCTGGGCCAGGTTCAGTGACGAGATGTCCCAGCCTGAGGACGATCCTCACGCTTGTCCCAGTTCATTGGGTCTTTCGGGTCCCCGCCTGCCCTCCCCACGACCCGGGCCCCACAAACCGTCAAACACCAGATCGTCGGGCGCCACCATGGGTAGCAGCGCGCGGAAGGGCACGTGCACCTCCTGGCCTTCGGCGTCCAAACCCAGGCTCACGGTGCCGGCTTGCGTCAGTGAGCCATAGTAGTTGGCCTCCTGGGGGCGGCAGGCAGGGCGTCGGGTGGAACCGAGCAGGCCTTGGTCTCGCTCTGGACCCGCCCCCCCAATCCCGCCTCTCTGCTTGGCGCCGTCAAATTGGTGGAAGCCCCGCCCCTCGAAGACCACTCCCCTCACGGAGGCCCCTTCCTCTCCGGAGGTGCCCCCTCCCCCTCGGTGGAATCTGCTCCCCCCGCGGAGGCCGCACCTCCGGACGGATCCCCTTGGAGCTGTTTGCCTCGGTGGAATCTTCTCCTGCGGATGCCCCTGCTCTACGGAGACATCTGCCCCCCTCAACCCCTAGTAAAACCCCCTTCCCCTGCGGAAACGCCCTCTCCAGTGGCATCCTCAACCCCGTCCCCAACAAACGTTTCTTTTACCCTAGTGAAACCTCCTCACCCCCGCAGAGCTACCTCTGAGGAATATAACTCTGTAGAAGTCTGTTCCCTCCCACATCGGAGCCCCAGTCCCTCGCGGAATCCTCTCCCTACAGAGTCCCCCACCTTGCGCCCGGTGCGCGTGGGCCAGGAGAGGCGCAGCCGGTTGGCCAGCACTGCGGCGGTCATCGTGGAACCGTTGTTGCCGCCCCAGCCAACGAGCATGACCCCGAGACGGGGCACCTGCCGAACCGTCCGGAAGGTGAAGCGCTTGGACGTAGGGTGCACCTACGGGGACGGCACCGTAAGCCCGGGGTGCACCCAGACCGCCCTTGCCCACTCTGTCCGGCGGTGGGACCGTTGCCCCCCCACCCCCCGCGGGCCGTCCACCTTGAGGACGCCATCTTCGCGGCTGACAAGCGTCGTCCGGTACTCGTATTGCGCCTCGATGGCCTCGGGGCCGTAGACCACGTCGGGGCTCTCAACCAAAAAGTCGACGGCGGTGGTCTCCATGGCGTTGGGCTGGGGGCGAGATGAACCGTCAGCTGGGGACGCGAGCCAGCAGACTCGGGCCCCGGGCGGACGGGGCGGCGAGACCGCGCAGGACAAACTCACCGGCTCAGAACCGTGCGGGCAGCAGGCTGCGGGGAGCGCAGACTTCGGGAGTAAAGCTCCGTGGCCCCGCCCCCGCCCCGCCCCCTAGGGGAGGGGGCACTGCCACCTGGGTTCGCGAGGCTTCAGGAGCATATGTGGTCTCACTGGGACTAGCTGCCGGGACACTCCAATCTACTAAAGAGGAGCACGAGGCTGCGCTTGGTCCCTGTCACAGTGTGGGGAGTGCAGCGAGCCCATTGGTGGCGGGTGTGTGTATGTGTTTAGATCCTGCGGGGGAAACTGAGGCAGCGCGGGGTGAAAGAGCAGAGGGTCAAACCCTCTGTGACCTCATAATCAGAAACTTTCTGCCAGATCACGCTCAGTAGAGGACTGCATTCCGCATTATCTCCCCATGGCTTTGCCAAATGAAAATACTTGGATGGGGAAAGAAGGGGACAAAGGGGACAGGACGATCACAATAGCTGGGGCAAGGAACGTACAACCCAATAACTTTTCTTCAGGAGCTTGGGGAAACGGTTTTCTCTTACAGGCTCTGAGAAAGAGGTGTGAGAATGGTAGAGGGTTCTCGGAACGTAGGCTGGGATGTGGGCTGAGAAGAGGATTAGGATGAGATGGGGGGTGGGGTGACTGAAATGATCGCCAAGTCTCAGAAGACTTTTTGCTGAGGTCAGCCGATCCTCCTCAGAGGGGCCCTGAAGGAGGGGCCGTCCACAGCCTCGGGCGCAGGCAGGATAGAGGAAGTTCAGGGACGGGGAGCGAGGGGGGCGGGGACCCGTCGCCAGAGTTGGGTTAAGAAGCACTTTGTTTCCCCCAGATCCCAAGAACCAGCCCTTAGTTACTCATAGCTGAGGCCAAGAATGGGGATTTGAAGGGCCTGCGTCTGGCCTGGGCTTGGATAAACAAGGGGGCATCTGGGAGGCTTATCTCTGTCACGTGAGGCTTCTGGTTCTTCCCAGTAAGCCGGTTTCCAGGACACAAGGGTGGGACATTTCTCAGGGATCAGGTAAAATTCAACATTGTCACATTATCAGCTTGGGGCGGGCACAGTCACCCACGACAATGGGGGGAGGGGGACAGCAGTGGGGTTGCTGCTATGCTAACACCTGCAGCAGGATTGGCTGAGGGCAGTCTTGACTGGGGTCCCTAGGGAGGGCATGGGCAGCAGGGAGGAGGGAGGCCAGCCTCATGCTGGGCAGGCGATAAGGGACCGTGGGAACCCAGCTGGAAGCAGAGGGTCAGGCAGCTCCCCCAGAAACTTTCCAAAACAAGCTGACTCCACTAGCCGAAAAGTTTCCACGGCTGGAGCTGGCCCAATAGGCAGATAGTTGAGAAAGTTTGCAGGAAACGTGGTTGAGGCCTGACCTTATGGTACAGACTCCAAATCCCTGCACCTAGACTTAGCCCTAAAGAAACTCCAGTCTGGGAGGTGGAGGGAGGGAAGTGAGTAGATGTGGCCACCCTAAACCAGAGGGAACCAAGATCAGGTCCACTCCAGAGAGGGCTAGGAAGGTTTCCCAGAATAGTTGGTTGCTGGAAGGGGTTTTGAGGTATGAAGAGGAGCTTATAGGTAGGAATGTGGGGGTTTTAAGGGTGATAGACAGGGTGAGGGGAGTTTGAGGGTACATGTGACATCATAGGAATGTATGCAGAGAAAGACCCAAGTCCAGGAGGCCCCAGCCCTCTTGGCAGAGTTGGTGGGAGATAGCAATGGCAGAGTTGTGTCTATTCCTACCAGTCACTTGATGCTGTAAAAGGTCAGCCATAGATCTGGAGAGGTGTGGGCTCAGCCTCTGGAAGGGTTGTTGTTAAGTGCCATCGAGTCAGTTCCGACTCATAGCGACCCTGTACAGGGGTTCCGAGGCTGTAAATTTTTACGGGAGCAGAACACCTCATCTTTCTCCCACGGAGCGGCTGGTAGTTTCCAATTGCTGGACTTAAGGTTCACAGCCTGATTCGTTACCCCTAAAGCCTGTATAAAACACAGGGTTGTTAAGTGTTGTCCAGTCAGTTCCAACCCATAGTGACCCTGTATAGGGCTTCCAAGGAGCAGCTGGTGAGCTTGAACTGCTGACCTTGCAGTTCAAATGGCTTTGCAGCCTGGCGCATTAACCTACAGCGCCATGTTGTTGTTAGGTGCCATCAAGTCAGAACCAACTCATAGCTACCTTATATTCAACAGAACGAAACACTGCCCAGTCCTGGACCAGTCTCACAATTGTTGCCATGCTTGAGCCCATTGATACTGCCACTTTGCCAATCCATCTTGCTGGGGGTCTTCCTCTTTTTCTCCGACCCTCCACCTTACCAAACATGATACCCTATGTCCAAAGTATGAAAGACAAAGTCTGGTCATCCTGGCTTCCAAGGAGCACTCTGGCTGCACTTCTTCCAACACAGAAAGATGTTTGTTCTTTTGGCAGTCCATGGCACTTGCAATATTTTCCAACACCGTAACTCAAAAGCATCAATTCTTCTACGGTCTTCCTTATTCACTGTCCAGCTTTCGCATGCATATGAGGTTATTGAAAATACCATAGCTTGGGTCAGGTGCACCTTAGTCCTCAAGCTGACACCTTTGCTCTTCAACACTTTAAATAAAAAGGTCTTGTGCAGATTTGCCTAATGCAATAGGTCATCTTATTTCTTGACTGCTGCATCCATGAGTGTTGATAGTTGATCCAAGAATGAAGCCCTTGACAATTTCAATCTTTTCTCCATTGATAAGAATGTTATTGGTCCAGTGGTGAGAACTTTTGTTTTTTTTACATTGAGATGCAATCCATACCCAAGGCTGTGCTCTTTAATCTTCATCAGTAAATATTTTAAGTCCTCTTCACTTTCAGCAAGCAAGGTTGTATCATTTGCATATCGCAGGTTGCTAATGAGTCTTCCTCCAATCCTGATGCCACGTTTTTCTTCACATAACCCAGTTTCTCGGATTATTTGCTCAGCATACAGGTTGAGTAAGTATGGTGAAAGAATACAACCCTGTCGCACACCTTTCTTAATTTTAAACTATTCAGTGTCCCCATGTTCTGTTGGAACAACTGCCTCTTGGTCCACGTAGATCCTTCATGAGCACAATCCAATTATTAATGGATGTTTTGTAGCTGTTTCTCTTTGAGCTGTGCCCCATCAGCAAATGAAGGTCCCGCAGACTTTATTCCATTTGCATCATCATAACATTTACTTTGAGGAGGCAGCTCTTCCCCAGTTGCAGTTTGAGTGCCTTCCAACCTGAGGGGCTCATTTTCTGGCCCTGTATCTGACAGTGTTTCTCTGCTATTCATAAGGTTTTCAGTGACTAAACATTCAGAAGCTCGTGACTCCTTCTTCCTAGTCTGTCTTCGTCTGGAAGCTCATCTGAAACCTGTCCACCATGGGTGACCCTGATGGCATTTAAAGTATCCATGACATAGCTTCCAGAATCACAGCAACTCACAAACCACCACAGTACGACAAACTGACAGACGAGTGATGGTACAGCGCCTTAGTGGCACCCAAATCAGAGATGGGCAGTACATGGCTGGGCCTGATCTATCCCATGCCATTTAGGGGGGGTCATCAGGCTCATGTGTCCCACTGCGGGACTGCCTGGCCCCAAAGTCCAGTGGAGTGTGGCACAGGATTGTACAGCATGGAACAGGGCAGGCTGGGTCTGGGAAGACTTCTGGGAATCAAGAGTGTCACTCTGAGGCAGAACATTCACAGGAGGGCTGTGGTGGGGGTGCAGCCCACTGCTTGGACAGTGTAGAGGTGGGGGAGGTGCTGGGCAGGGGCAGAGACGCTGAGGGGTGAGGACAAAGATACTATCTGTATGTCTTGAACACACTGTCCCAACTGCTGGCAGCTATTCTCCAGCCTCAGAACTTGAGCCAAGGCCACAGCCAGCAGGCTGCCTGCTGACCCCAGGAGCCCCAAGTGACCATGGGGCCTTTGCTCATGGCTGTCTCCTTTGTCTTGTCTTCCTTACTACAATTGTGTCTGCCCATCCTGGTCCCAAGTAGATAAGGCAGGCCTTCACACCTCCAACCTCAGGAGCCTCACTTGGAACTGAGGGTGAAGGTGGCATCCCTACTGGCACCCTCTGGGCCTCAGTGTTCCCACTGGAGGGACAGGGACACCCATTCCCAGTGATGGCCCGGGAAGGAGGAATCACCGTGTCTCTCTCTCACATACACACACACCCACAACTGTTTCCATCGGAGAATGTAGGTAAATGAGTCCTGGTGGTCCCCTGTCCAAGCTCCCCATCACCTCCACCCACGTTCTTGCAACACTCACCCACTTCTGGGAGGTTGTGCCAGGGAGGGTGCCCTGTCTAGTCCACACTAGGGTCACCCCACAGCCCGGGCCACTCTCTACTGGTGAGGAAGGAGCCAGCCCCCAAAACCCAGACATGAACATAGGCTGGCAAGCCTAATAAGACAGTGCGGTTCAGTGAAATTTATTGTAGGTTGAAAAAGGTCCGCATTCACCTGTTTAGTGTACAAAAAGACACTAGCTCTTTTAAGAAAATATTAGGAAAACCGATGACACGGGTGCCTCTCAATTGTAACATTTTGGCAAAAGTGAAAAGTTCTTGTAAACACCAACTCCATGGCTCAAAGTGGCTTTTCTCCACAGTACGAAGTCGAGGGACAGAACAGTATCAATAAGTTAGACTCTATTTAATCGGCTAGGACTGCCGTCCGCCAACCCCCAAAGCACAAAACTACAAAACTTCTCTGAGCTTCATCATTCCTTAAAAGGAGAAAAAAACAAAACAACAAAAGGTAAATTCAACTGAGATTCCTAGGAGCTGGTTCCCAGGAGCGGGTGAGCGGTTGGGCCCCAGTGATCATCTGGGCCAGCGTTCCTAGTACCCCGCCACCCCTTGAATGGTAAAACACAAAGGGCCAGCGTTTCTGCGAAGGCAGGGGGCAGGTGTGGGAGCTGCAGGGATACGGGGTAGGGTGGAGTGGGGGGTGACACACTGCTGGCGTGCTTCCCAGCGGCCAGCTCTTTGGAAGCCGGTCGGTCCCGCCCCCTGAAGCGCAGGGACCAGGCAAGGCCGCATTCCAGAGTCCCAAGCCCCGCCCACTGTATGATCCCACCCACATTAGGTTCCGCTCCCACCCATAGCGCCGCGGTGGGGTCTCCACTCTACATGTCGCAATCGTAGAGCCCCGCGGGATAGGGGAACACTAGGCACAGCAACAAAGCAGCAACTGTGGGGTCCGCAAGGCCGCGCCCCCAGCCCCTCCCTGAGTGCAGACCCCGGGGGCCCCCGGAGGAGGGAGTCTCAGCCCCAAAGGGCAAACAAACAAACAAACAAACACGCAGCAGCAGCAGCAGCAGCAGTAAAGGGGAGCGCTGAGAAGTCACAATCCACCTGGTGCGTGCCCTGCACGGTCCGGCCGGCAGCTGGGCACTCAGAATAGCAGGCTGGCTTGAGGACACAGGGCTGGCACCTCCTGGAACAACTGGGTCCCTAGAGCCCCAAACCCTGCAGCTGCTTCGTGCCAGTTGGGCCTCTTGAAATAAGAGCTATCCTGCCGGCTCCAAGATCCTTGGGCAGGTGGAGAGAGCCAGTGTTGGCTGGCCGGAGGTCACCCCAGCTTGGGGCCTGAGGAGTGCCCCAGTATATGGTGGTCCTGGGCCAGGTTCCGCAGAAATGTGCCCCTCACCCACTCCCACTCCGTGGAGCCCTCAGAACAGTGCTTGCTCAGGGTAATACTGCAGAGAGGACCCCCGGGGCCTTGGGGTCTACGGGTGGCTGGAGGCACAGGTGTAGAAAAAAGGGCTTTTTCTCTTCGTACAAAAATAGACGAGTCTCCTCGCAGTAGCTAAAAGTGGCTATCCGTATAAAACTAGAAAAGGCGCACAGCTTGTCTCTGGCCACAGCGGGTAAGGTGGGCCTGGCCCAAGGCTCTGTCTTCAGGACCCCCAGTGTCCGCTTGTGGCTTCAGAGAGGCCAGTGTCCTTGTATTTATTATTTAAATAAATCCTTTTTCCCACCTTTTGTCCCCAGGCCCCACCATCCACAAAGGTCCACACGGTGGGGGTGCACGGGTATGTGGGGCTGGCCTGGAGGCCACTGGTCCCTGGGTAGCACCAGCCACCCAGCACCTCAGGCTAGTGCCAGGTGGGCAGCTGCTGCTGGTCGTACTCAGCAATCAGCCGCTTGATGTGGGCCAGTTTGCTGTGTAAGTACTCACAGCGTTGCTTCTCTTGGCTGTAGTTGGTGTTGGTCTGTGGAGAGTGGGAGAAGGTGACTGGTGACCGTGGGGACCAGAGTCAACCCTGCCCTGATGGGGTGGTCAAGGACATCTCCCAGAGGGGAGCAGGCCTCAAAACTGGGTAACCCCACCAGCTCTGAAGATGCAGATGAACTGACCAAGATACAAGGAAGGCTGTCTACCCAAAGTCCTTTGCCACCAAGGACATGGCCTGGAATCAACTGGGACAGGCAGGGAATGACTGGGGTCACCCAGGAGGCCCTCCCTGCTCCCTTTCCTGGAGCCCCAACCTCCTCCTGAGTGGACACACCTTTTTGATTTTTCGATACTCCTGCAAGATCTGCCCACGCGTGGTCTGGAGGAAGAGAGAGACAATGTCAATGGCCTCAGAATCCTTCCAGGCCTGCTCCCTGTGCCCAGAGGAGTATGGGGGCCTAGGGACTTCCTGGCAGACGGTCGAGGTAGGGAAGAGACCAGGTGGAAGGCTGAAAGCTGCTGTGGGGGTTGTACGGGGCCTTCTGTGAAGGAAGCTATGGGGGGGCGGGGCAGTGGAGGGTTGGGGACGCAACCTCATACTCCGGGGAGCCCTGGGAGAGCTGCCGGAGCTGGGCGTCAAGCTGCGTGAAGCGCCGCGTGATACGCTCGATGCGAGCATGCAGGTCACGGTACTCGGTATACTCCGAGTTGAAGTCATTCTTGTAGCTCTGCCGCTGTTCCGAGGAGGAGATAGCTGCGTATTTCCTGGAGGGAGAAGAGAGGGAGGGTTGGGTCTGGGGGGAGTCATGCCTCACCCCCACAAGGTCACCTTGGAAAGCTGCTCTCCACCCGCCAACCCTGAGATCCAGGTGCACAGGAAGTCTGTAGGACAGTCTGGTAACTGAGCATGGCAGGGGCAGATGGGAGAGGACAAGCCCATACTCACAGTAAATAATCAGGCGTGTCCGAGGTTGAGGTGGGGACACTGGCACTGTGACAGGCGCCATTCAACCCTGTGAAGGACAGACCCTCTAGCACAAGACCCCATGGAGAGTACAGGCAGAACACAGATCAGAGGCAAAGAGAGGCAGCTGACCCAGGGACAGCCTGTGCCCAGCTGAGTGAGGACTAGAAGCCTGGCTGCCACTGCCTGTGCTCCTGTCCAGGAGCTGAGCTCACACTGGCCAAGCAGCCTCCAGGTGTTCTTCATGTGCCCAATGCCACCTGGGCCACTCAAGGCCGCACTGACAAGGGTATTCAGGTGTGCACAGCAGAAGAGGAAATGGAGCGATGGTGTCCTGGACTATGTGTTTACCCAGTCACCCCATCCCTTGGGTTCTCACCCACCACCCGCCCTGCTGTCCTGTTTGCCAAGCCACACTGCCCAACAGAATGACTATGGATCAGTGCTCCCCACCACAGCATGTCACAAGCCCCTCCTGTGAGGCACTAGCCCTCCTCCAGGCTCCACCCACCCAAGACCCTGGGACCTTCCAGGAAGGAGCCTGCCCCCCACAGTTCCACCACTGATTCCCTCAGGGCATCCCTGGCCCCCTGTACCAGGACTATAGCCTGGAGTCTTCCTCCCCAATTTTTGTCCTCCTATGAATAGCTCCTGCAGATCCTGAGGCCCCATAGAAGGCACCCAGGGCTGACACGGGTTTCGTGCGGTACAAAAAGTGGCAGGCTAGCCTGACCCTTGCAGTTCCCCGTGTCCCCCTATATCTACCTGGGGTTGGGGTGTCCAGCAGGGTTCCAAGGGTGCTGCCTGAGCTCTCAGCAGACTCCTGGTCAGGCTGTGAGGCCCGGTGCCGGTCCCTGGGCACTCGCTCTTTGTCACGGTGCTTCTTGGACTTTTTCTTGGCCTTGCTGTGGGGCCGGCCAGGCCGGGTGCAGTCTGGGGATGGGGGCAGGTGCAGGCACTCGGTGGGACCTGGGCCACCCACCTCTGGGGGCTCTGCATCCCGGCCACTGTGGCTCAGGTCGTTGCTGACATCAGCCAGGGGGTCATGGGGTCGCGGGGGTTCAGGCAGTGGAAGGAGGGGGGTGGCGCGGCTATGAGCCACGCTCAGTTTCCCATTGATAGTGGGCTGGGTGCGCTGGGCAAAGTGTGAGATCCGGGGCTTCTTGTTGGACAGGGGGTCAATAAAGTCCGGGGGCTGTGGCCGCTTCTGTGGAGGAAGGAAGTGATAGGATTATGGGAGCAAGCCCGACTGTCCAGGTCCCAGAAAAGCCCACACAGGCTGCAATGCTGACTCTTGCCACATGGTGGCAACCAAACACTTGCAGCCAACACACAAGGGACCAGCTCCTGCCCATAGGTGCACCCCCTTGGGGCATTATCTGTGCATTGCTACTCTACTAGGCACCTTTCCTGGGGGTGCACTGGGAACCCCTAAGTCTACTCCACACCCAATAGGCTGACACCAGGACTGGCTTGGTATCTTCAAGGGGCCTCAAGGAACTGATGATCAATGTCTCCAGTCAAGCAGGATACAGGACCACCGTGGGCAAGTTGTGACTGACCATGAGGAAGATAGTCAAGAAAGTAGCTCTGTGAGATGGCTCCTGTGTGCCAAAAGCTCAGCCTGGCTCAGAAAGGGACAAGGTGACCAGGGAAAGAAGCTGGGGGCAGTATGGGGGCTTTCAGCTTGCTCCTCCTCTTCCCCAACCTAGTTGAGTCTGAACTTCACATCTGTACCCCCAGCTCAGCCCCTACCTGCAGCAGCGAGGAGGCATTTCCCTGCTCCCTAGGAGGGCTGGAGGCAGGGTCCCCGGGGAAGGCACTGGTGCCTTGCGGCTGGCACAGCTTCCTGAGGAGGAAACAGAAATGGTTGGAGGATCAGCAGCAAGTGCAGAGGGACACTCTCCAGTCCCACCTATTCCCTCAGGCAGAGCACAAGGTGATACCCTGGTGATATCACCAGCCCCTGAGTGCTGGCCGCTAGCTATCCTGACACTATGCCCACTGCTGCAGAGCCAGGAAACACTGAGAGGAGGTCTGGGCTGGAGGCTCAGCACCACCACTCCAGAGGACAGGGGTACAGCCTGGGACTCAAAGGACAACAATGCCACCAGAGGACAAGAGCAGAGATAGGGACCTAGGGGGCAAGCAGAGGCTACACCAGTGTGTCCTGGCAGCTCACCCAGGGCAAGTCCATGGTAACCACCATCACGTGGGACACTGAGGGACACATCTGTCACCAATGTCTGAGACCCTGAAGACATGCAACCAAGGAAGAGAGATTCCAAACAGAGATGACAACTTAAAGAAAACCACTACCCTCAGTATCATTAGAAAGACAAAGGACCTGAATAGTCATTTCTCCAAAGAAGATGTACAAGACCAACACGCACACAAAAAAGATGCTCAATGTCATCCCGGCCACCACTACTGAACATTCTGATCAGCAACATAATAGCGAAATGCTGATAAAAAGGGAGGAAAATGTGAAATGTAGAACATAATGTCAAATTCTTAAAGACTCCACACTTAACAGTACCAGCTAACTCTGAAGGAGTTCCCAAGACGACGGCCCTGATTTGCCCTTCAAACCTGGAATGGAAATGATGCCCTGAAGTCACATTGCAGCCCACAGATTGTCATTCTGAATTAAGCACTGTCTTACCTAAAAATTAAAAACTCAGCAACTTTTTTAAAGCCAGATGAAAAGGTTGGATGGCAAGGAGGATAAGTAATCGGTAACGAAACAACTAGAAAGAAATAAGACAATGATTCAACATCACTGATCATTATGTCCACGAACTAGGACGAGAGCGGGTGCTGTTGTGAATATTTCCCCAAAAAATAAAAACGAATTGCCGCTGAGTTGTTTCCAACTCACAGCAACCTCACACTATGTCAGAGTAAAACTACTCCATGCAGTTTCAAAGACTGAGTTTTTACAAAAATGTCACCAGGACTTGCTCTCCAGGCACCTGTGAGCGGACCTAAATCTCATAACTTTCCGGTTAAAAGCTGAGCATATTCAACATTTATACCACCTAGGTACCCTGCATTCATCACAAGGGAAATGCAAATCAAAACCATGATGTCTCACTAAGTCCTGGTGTGCCATTGTAGGATCAGCACTGGACTGCTAACTGCCAAGTTGGCAGTTCAAACCCACCAGCTGCTCAGAAATCATACACAGGGTTGCTATGAGTCAGAGACTTGATGGCATTTAACAACAAAAAGATGACTACTGTCAGAAAAATGGAGAATATCAAGTGTGGACAAGGATGTGGAGAAACTGGAATCCTCATGTACTGTTGCTGGGAACGGGACAAGGTGTAGCCACTGTGGAAAAGAGTCTGGAGGTTCCTCAAACCATGTGACCCAGCAATTTCATTCTTAGGAATCTACACAAGAGAAATGTCTCCAAAGATACTTGTCCATGAATGTTCTAGCCTAAAGGTGGAAACCACCTACCTGTCCATCCACAGATGATGGATACACACAGTGTGGTCCATGCACACGATGGAGAACAATGAAGCACACTGATACACACTATATTGTGGAGGAACCTTGAAAACTCCTGCTGAGTGAGGGAAGTCAGACACAAAAAGCCACATATGATCCCACTGATAAGAAAGGGTCAGAACAGACAAATGACAAAAAACATCGATTAGCAGCTGGCAAGGGGCTGGCAAGGGGTGGAGAGTAACTGCTAATGGACACAGGGTCTCCTTTTGGAGTGCTGAGAATGTTCTGGAATTAGACAGAAGTGGCAGCTGCACAACATTGTGAATGTACTAAATGCCACTGAACTGCTCACTTTAAATGGGCAAACTGTATGTGAATCATATCTCAATACAGCTGCTATGTTTCACAATGCCCTCAGAAACAGATTGATGATGTCACTGAATTGGGGGGGGTGATGCTGTGTAGTTCTCCACAACAAAAGAGCCAATTCAAAGTGACATCCCTGGTGACATGAGAAGCTGACATTGAGCTCCTGGAAATGAAAAGCAGCAGCCAAAGAGGTGGGCTGGGACGGAATCCTTTAGAGGAGATTTCAGAGAGGACAGAATGGATGGACACGGCAAAGAACAGAACAGACACAACAACCCAGGCGCATGGCCTCCCAGGGACAGAACCCGTGGGCCACAAGGCGTGAGTGCGAGGGCAGAACAGTCTGGCCACTTCCAGACAATGTTCTGGGGTACAGAACATTGGGCTGTGGGGAGAGACCACTCCCATGAACACCAGGTCTGGGGCACAGTGTCCAGCTTCAAGGACCAAAGGCCACATCTCCCCAAGACAGAGGGCAAGTCCACTTCTGTTGAACATTCCAGATGTAATCAAGCTATTGCCTCTGGGCAGTGGCCCATCAGCCATGGAGACCCTGTACTTTTGAGCTCCCCTGGGGTCCACACTTGGCTGTGCTGTAGACGCAGGTGCTATTTCAACAGCCCTGGAGAAACCCTTAAATAGCTCCCCAAGCCGAGAGAATTCACTTAAGGACTAATGAGTGTGTCTGCTTCTCACATTGGGGCTTCCAACCCAAGCTGGCTTGGGAGGAAGTCGCTAATTGCTTGGGTCAACTTCTTTCTTTTTCCCACAGCAAGAGGTACTCCACCTCTGGTCCTGGGGACCCCAGGGGACACATTCAATTAGCTTGCCATAGTCCTGCCTCAGGGAATGCAATTTTGCCATGTGTTCCTCACTCATATTCTCCTGGTTCTCTCAGAGCCAAGTGTATGTTATAGCACTGATTCCATTACAGCACCGATCCTTGGAGCACCCAGGTTTGGGTGCCAGAAAGGGCATGGGTTTGGGGTAGCATAGCTTGGAAGGCAAGAGCTGACAGGTGGGGAGGGAGGTCCTAGAGGCCTGTGGACGCCTTCCATTGGTGACCTGGTTATACCTGTTTATACTCAGGTTCCAGCTCGGTTGGGGAAGGGCCCTGGGAGGCTACCCTGACACCCTGGGAGAGATCCCCTAGCACATTGGGGTCAGGGTATTATCCAGGGTCATCTTTGGGGTGTTCTCAGGGCAGGGAAGAACCCTCAGGGTCAGCGGTAAGGCAGGTCTCAGGGTCAGGCTCAGGGACCAGGGGGTCCTTGGGGTCAGTACCTGACAAGCATGCGCTGGAGCAGTTGCCGGTCACCCTCTGAGTAGCCAGGCCAGTCCCGCTGCACGTCCTTGTATACGCCATCCTTGAGCGTGCACGTGCCATCCTTGGCACTCACATTGGCCACCTATAGACAAGATGTCACCTGCATGAACCAGTGGCAGAAGCTGAGAAGCAGGGGTCCATGTGCAGAAACAGATAAGTGGGACAGGATGCACCCCGCATCAAGGGAGTCGTCCCCCCCCCAGCATATGTTGGTCCATGCACCGAGTGCCCACAGCAGACACAGTGGTGTGTACACACACACACCCAACCCTACCCCACTCTGCCCCCAGTGGCGGCCAAGTTGAATAGGAACCCAGGCTAGCTCCCTGAGAGGGCCGTCGTCTGTCAGATTGTCATCACTCTCCTTCCCATCAGAGTTGGCGATGACCAGGTGAGCCCACATCTCCACACGGAGTAGTGTGCAGAGGAAGCCTTGGCACCTGCTCAGTGGGGGGTCTCCCTTGAGGCGAGGTGCATCTTCCCCCCCTTAATAAGGGGTCTGCAACGAGGTCCCCTGCACCCAGTGGACACCCAACAGTGACATTTCTCACAAACACTGCACCCTGAGGCTCCCGCTGCTGTTCCTAGTAATGCCTTCACAGAACATGATTGGCTGAGTTCTTGGTAGCCCACCTCCCTGCACTGAGGAGGGGCCATGTACCAGAATGGCTTCCCTAGGAGGCTCAGTGGGTGAGGGCAGTGCCCTGTAGCCAGCAATGCACTCTACCACCATACTCTCAGCAGAACTGGGTATCCAGTGCCCTCTACAGAGCCCCTATGCCTCCCCACCTCCGTGTTCACTCCATACTCTGCCGGATGTTCTCAAAGAGGGCCTGGGTGACACACAGCTCAGTGACCTGGGCAGGCCGTTCACTCTCCGCTATGTGACAGAATCCCAAGAACCCACCACTGCCAGAATGAGCAGACAGGGGGCAGGCAGGGAGACCAGCAGGACTAGTAGGCGGTGCTGCCTCCAGGAGGCCTGGTCCACTTGGCCATCACCAGTGCCCAGCATCCTAGAGCATCACAGGGCCAGCTCCCGTAGGGTCTAAGGGCTGGTTTCCCTGTACCAGGCTCCTGGGAACACTTATGTGGGCATGTTTATGACAGCTGACGTGTGTGTGTGTGTGTGTGTGTGTGTCTCCTCTCCTTGGGTCACACACAAGACGAGAGAAAACTGAGAGACCAGCAAGAGGGTCCATGGGGCCTACATTACCTGCCTGTCTGTGTGGGGGCAGCTCCCTGGACCTCACTGTATAGGTGTCCATGGAGTTCCCAGGATGAAGCTGGCAACGCCCTGACAAGCCACGTTTATGATGCTCAGTGGGTCTGCATACCCTCTGACTAAGAGCACTCTGGGCCACAGAGTCACGTGGGCTGCTTGATACAGCTCTGACCTCCTCACTGCTTATTCTCTGCCACAGAACCGCAGGCACTGTCTTCCACACCCAGGGCCCCAACAGAGGTGGAGGTCATCACAAGCCAGAGTTGCTTCCTGGGGACCCAGCACTTCAAGGGATGCCTGTATCCTAGATCCTAACAGTATCCCTGTGATGGCGTCCATGGAACGGTGGGTTAACAGTATCCACGTAAAGGCATGTAATTGCATTCACATACTGGCATGAGTGAGTTCATGGAGCCATGTCTGTATAACGGGTTGTACCAACACCCACGTGCTAGCGTGGGCTTTCTGCTATACGAGGTGTCCTTTGGGAAGTGGGAAACAGCAGGCCAACCCCCGACCCCAGGTTCTGGCAGCCACTATCTACTCTCTGTCCATGAAGACGCCTGCTCTGCCGAGCCCCACCCCAGTCTACAAAGAAGTGCCCCACTCGGGGACTTGGATAAAGGAGCTGTGGGTATTACACTGTCATGGGGGACCGTGATACCAGTGTCACGTGCCCCACGTGCCTCCCATCTGTGTCTCCACCCTCACAGGAGAGACCACCCAGGGTCCCCGCACCTGCTGGAGGAGGCCGTCCAGTGAGTCCTTGTCCGGCTGTGCCAGCCCATCTCTCTGCAGCCGCAGGAGCAGCTCGGCCTTCCGGTAGGGTCTCAGTGCCAGGAGGTGTAGCACACGGTCACGGAAGGGACGCTGGGAGACCCCACCACTGCTGCCCCCACCAGTGGTCTTCTTGAGGGCACTGGCTGGGTTAACAGGGGCGGCCCGCTTCCGGGAGGGCACAGCATCCGTGGGCCCTGGGGCTGGCTTCCGAAAATGAACCTTCTTGCCTGAAATAAGAGCCAGAGCTGGATCAGGGGAAAGGTGTGGGGGTGGCACCCAGGGCTGGAGCTGGAGAGCAACCCCATGCTGCACCACAATGGGGAGGAGTGCTGCTGAGTGGGGGTCCTGGGGTGAGCGCGCCAACTGCTAATGGCACAGGCACTACCAGACAGGAGAGATGTTGAGTCAAGTCTGTGACACTTGTGACCTGGGACATGACTGTGCTCAGGGTCAGGACAGCGGCGCCATGGTAGCCAGAGTCCTGGCCCTCAAATGCCCAGCCCCCACAAGGGCTAGGGGAGAGGTATGAGGCTCTCTGATGCGAAAAAGGGGCCCTGCCCCCCCCTTCAGTGTCATGTGATATTGGTATGCCACAAGTTTTTCCACACATGCTCCACCACACAAGTACACTGTCTGCTTCTCAGCTTCATAGAAACCAATTCCAAACAGCTGAGTCCCAGAGCCTTTCTGGAGTCAGGGGACTGACAGTCTACCTGCTCCAGTCTGCATCTCATGGGCCACCCACCCTGACACTGTGTCTGTCCCCAGCGTGTGCATGTCCCCAAGGTTTAGGGGACAGGGCTCCTGGTTGGGAACTGGTTGATGTCCTAGACCTACTCTATCCCAGGCTTCAAAGGTCTTGGATGGGTGCAGCCCCTGCCTGTCCCTCCTCACCCAGGTATCGGCCACCCGGCTTGATGACAATGGCGCTGCGGCTCCTAGTCTCCTCCTCAGCCTGTGCCAGGCTCTGCCGTGCCTTCTGGTAGGAGTCATCAGTGGCACACACTGTGATCTTGTCCTGGATGCTGCCCAGGCAGTCCAGGTGGACATCCCCGTGGCTGTGAGACATAGCAGTGGATGGACACAGGCCCAGCAAGGTACAGCCTCCCCCCATAGGAACAAGGAACAAGGAACCTGAGGGGCTGGGCTGGGGCTTAACAGGCCCCACAGAGGGTCCATGTGGAGGGAATGGAGGCAGGACCAGGCGGGAGGGCAGGAGGGGCTGGCTCACCTGGATAGGTACTGCTGCACACAGTCAAAGCTGCCTTGTGGGCTGTCCCGGCCAATGTTGGAGAGGTAAAAGGAGAAGGTCCGGGCCTCAGAGGGGCAGTCTGGCTGAGGGACACAGATGTGCTACGGGCAACGGGGGAGCTGTCACTTGGGAGAGGCTCGACACGCCCCACCCCCACCCCCATTTTCCTTTAGAACACACGTCCTATCAGCAGGTGACCCAGGACACAATGATCCTGGCTGGGCTTGGTGCACATGCTTGTCCCTGCACAATGGCACTGACCACCGGAGGTAAACCAAGCCTAGAGCTTGAGCGGGGAGTTGGGGCCAAGGTCACAGGCAGCTCCACACCAGGCCCCGGGGACCAGTGCAGCAGAACTGAGACCAGACTCCTTCTGCGCTGCTGCCGCCTCTGAAGCCAGAGACAATGGAGAGGACCCAGCGCCCCTGCCTGGTCAACCTCAGGCTCAGCCCTCCCCCTGCCAGCTGGGATCCTGACACCTGGCTCCTTCCCTAAATTCACTGACCACGTTCAGAATCTTCTGTCCATCCCTGACCTCTCTGCCTGCTAGGGTACACTCCGGTCATGGGCCATGCAGGTTAGTTCACACCATGTCCCAGCCTGGGTGGGACTTGTCTGGCCCTGATTGAGGCTCAGTCCCAACTCCCCAGCAGCCCCGAGCCCCAGGCCCTGCGAAGAGCTGCCTTCATCCCTGCAAGCCCAGAGGCATCCCATGGTGGACACATGGACACCTCCTGCTTTTCTCCCTGGTGACTGCTACCCATCAGCCTCTGGTCCAAGCACTATGGCCCAAGAACTGGCCAGCCTCAACTGTGAACTCCCCACAACTCCAGTGATGCCCCCCCAAACAAGAGTGGCATCATCTCTGCACCTCAGTCACCCAGCCCAGGTCCCCTCTCCTGGCACCACTGTCCCCTAACGCATAGCGGAACTAATCTACATGGTCCTGGAGGTCAAGGCCTGCCCTGCCCTGCCCTGCCCCTACTACTGCACTCCTGTTGCTGCAGAAAGCTGGGTTACTCTAGACAGCACTACAGCCCAGCATAGCAGTCACAAATGCACCAATCTGTCCCCTGGTAGCCCTCTTGGCTCTCTGTGGCCTCAGCTAGGGCAGTGCTGATGCTGGACACCACACTCACAGCACCCAGAGGGAGGGTGTGGCCACGGCCCGTAGCCCATGTGCCATCAAGGACTCACCCCTTGGCTGCCCTGGAAGCGGATTGACGGTCTCAGTGAGACGGAGTCCTAGGAGAGAGCAGAGGGACATCAGTGGGGACACAGGGACAGTGGACTCAGGACACGGGACGTGCACCTCCAGGTCATGCAGTCAAGGCCCTGTGACCCAATAACTCCTTGGAAGCAGAGAACCATAGTGGGACCCAGGAAGATGGTCCCAGGAACAGAGCCACCCCACCCCCTGCAGGAGCCACAAAGGCAGGGCTATAACAACATGATCTATCAGGCCAGGTCTCACTCGCCCTCCTGGACTTGGGGGAAGGCAGAGCCATAGGCTGAGCAAGGGATGTCACTTCTGCTCTGGCCTGGTGGAGAAAGCATGGGCAGACCAGGTGCCTGATGCCTGCCCACTCTACAGCGGCACACCAGAGCAGTCTGCTTCTACATTGCAGATACTGGGACGTCCGAGTGTCCAAAAACACATCACAGAGCTAAAATGACTGACTTCCGCGTCAGCTGCTCAGAGACTGGGAGGGAGGCAGGACTGAGAGCAGACGAAGGAACACCTACTCCAAGAATGACCAGCCCAGCCTCAGGGGTCCTGAACTGCTACCACCTCCTTTAGTCCCAATACCCACACCTGCGTAAAGGCACCACCTGCTTCCACCAGTCTCCACCACCAGCTTTTTTCACCAACATGCCCTTGTTCGCCTGCCAGGCTCCCTCCTGTCCCCACCAGGAAGCTCAAACCCTCCGCTGGCCTCAGGCCCTGTACACCACTTGTCCCTGCACTGTCTGTCCCCAAAGGAGACATCAATGCCAAGGCAGTTGCCGGGTCTGGCTTGGGGTGTCCTGGGTTCCTACATGGAGACACATGATAGCACGGGCAGGGCAACCCCCACCTGGCCAACAGCCTGAGTTCCACTCTGGGGCTCCCCTCAGATGGCCAGGGACACATGGATGGGGCAGGGGCCTGGTGCCCACTGGGTAACGGGAGTGACAGGAATGCTGCTAGATACAGGGACAGGTGGCCCTGCACACAGAAGCCAGGCAGGTGAGCAGTGAGATCTTGGGAGGTCTCATCTTATAGGGCATGGGGGGGTGGGGTGGGGGGGCAGAACACACAGAGATACGTGGGGATCACAGGGGAAAGGCCACCATACTGACTTTGGTTCTATCAAGAGCCCTTTCCCACCAAGAATCTTTAAGGAATCAGAATCTAGAGGGGACAGAAGCTGAGCCCCAAGGATATACACACACTGAGCACACTCCTTATCAGAGCTACTGCCAAGGGTCCCAGCTGGGCCAAGAAGAGTAGTGTCCAGGCCCAGTGCCCATGCAAGGGCCCTTGCTGCAAACCCTGCGTGCCATTCTGCATTCTGCCCCACCTGAGATCCTATGAGCCAAGTTCAAGTCCAGCTCCCCTCACCCCAAAGGGTCACTCAACCACCACCTGGTGTGTAAGACATGCATCCAAAGGAGGGCTCCGAGAGCAGGTCATGGAGATGCATCGAGGTCGTAGTCCTAGATATGGTTCAAAGACAGACATCAAAAAGGAGGTGTGTGCAGAAATGCGTACAGGGTCCATCTTTCTGGAAGCACATGCTGAAGCCACAGGAGACACCACCACACCGGTAAGCACAACTGCTGTGTCTGCAGTGAGGCTGGGAGAGGGGCCACTACAGCAAGGAGCAGGAAGTCACTCAGTCCTGGAGAAGTGAGGGCACATGCCCACACAGAGCGCCGTACAAACACGTCTACACAGAGCCTATCACTCAGTGAGCAGAGACCACCAACCCAAAGACAAGACTCGGCGGGGGGTGGCGTAGACGTGGCCACTACAACACTGCCGGCCTCACCCCCTATTGTCACAGGGACAAACCTAGCACACACGTCCACAGATGCCTAATGCTCTTCAGATGCAGTGTCTGGAAAAGGCAAAACCAAAGAGACAGGAAACAGATCAGTTTGTGCCCTCAAAGGCATGTACTGGGGTGACCACAGACACCTCCTGAGCTTGTCAAAGGCCCATGCAAAACAGGGACATTCACGGCATGTAAACAGCGACCCAGAATGCCATCAGCTGGCTCTGGGCTGGTTAAGGGTCTTTCTGTGATGACTCCGGGCATTGAAGCGGTGACTTCTAGGCCAGGTGGGTAGAGCAAGTCACACTAATAATCTTGGTATCTTGGCAATGTATATAGCAAAGCATGGACCACTGCCACCCTATGTAAACATCAGAGTCCATACGACTAATCCTGCTCATTGAGTTGTGCAGCCATCCCCAGTATTTGCTTCCAAGATTTTCCATCATCCTTAATAGAACTCAGTCGCCCCCTGAAAAATGACTCCCACTTCCCCTTCCTCCTGTCTCTTGTTGCTGCTGCCATTGTTGTTAGGTGCCACTAAGTCAGTTCCAACTCATGGTGACGCTATGCACAATGGAAGGGAACACTACTTGGTCCTGTACCATCCTCACAATTGTTCTTACTCCTGCCCCCAGTACCCACTAGTAAGCTCTGGTTCTAGGCATTCGCCTATTTTAGATACTGATACAAGTAGGATCATACAATATAGGCATGAAATCGTATTAACATCCACAATTTGTTTTATAAAATACGACGTCATATAGTGATGGGCAAATAGGAATCCCTTGCTTTATGTCCACTTTTTGAGTGGTGCTTAAATGTAAAGTAACAACCTGAATTGGCTCATTGCTTTCTGAATGAATACTGTCCTTTCTCCAATTTCTGTTCCGGAAATATTTAAAAAGCAATATATATAAATACATATAACAGTGGTAACACTAATATTATATATACCTGTACGTAACACATAGACATATAATACATACCTATATATCATATGGCCTTCCCACAACATTCAAATCCTATAAGGTCTGAGGTCACATGGTTTGTGTGGAGCCTTGGGCAGCTGCTGCTCTCAGAGACTACTTACTACACCCTCCATGATCCGCTCCCAGCTGGGAAGTAGAACAGGGACAGTGATTGCTCCTGACCTGATGGCACTGATGTCCCTCCCAGCTTCAGCTGTTGCAGCTGTAGGAGCTGGAACCTGAACTCAGAACAAGGGTCTGCAACCCTACAGTCCTATGAGATGATGGGGCTTCACCACTCATTGTGAAGATGGAGATCCCAGGTGTGTACACCTTCAGGAGGCCTTGGGGAAGATGGTGGCCCTATGGTACAATCAGAAGTCCACTCCTGCACAGCCCTCTGTCAGTCTCCCATCACCAGGGACACCTCCTGGAGCCACCCACCACCACCACGAGGCCGTTTCACCTCCATGATGATCAACATGATGCCTCCCTCCAGTCCTGAGGTCAGACCAAAATGTCCACAAAGTCAAGATCCGAAGAAACACCTCAGGTCCAATTCTGCCGCAGAGCCTGAAAAGGGGCCACTATCTCCCCAGCCAGACTGAGGAGGAAGCCTGGAAACCAGGAAGCAGCTGTGCTGAAGAGTCTGCTGAGGCCCTTCCTCAGAAACTAGTGTGGGGACAGCTTTGAGTCAGAGGCCAGTTTGGAGCAGCCGAGCCTATAAATGGGAGCTCTGGTGACAATTTGGAATAAGCACTGGATTGCAAAACTCAAGATTAGCAGTTCAAATTTACCAGACACTCATCCTCAGGAGAAAGATGAAGTTGTCTGCTCCTATAAAGATTTCCAGCCTTGGAAATTCTATACAGGGGTCCCTATGAGTTTAAATCGACTCAATGGCAATGGATTTGGAGTTTGCTTTGGTGCATGCTGAAGAGGGGTGCCTGGTGCATGACGCTTCTGCCACCAGGAGCCCCAGGCACTGACAGCAGCCCAAGGTAGAGCAGGAAACCACACTTCAGGGAGACCTACATCAAATTCAACTCACAGCTGCTAAAGCTCTGTGCATCCATACAGCGAGAAACCCCACCCTGACAAAGCACCAGAGCATCCACACAAGTGAGAAGCCGACCATGTGTGACCAGCGCAGCCAGGCCTCCAGCCAGAGCTCCAACCTGGAGCAAAGCTGCACACCTGCGGCCAGTATGACAAGGCCTTCACCTGGAGCTCCGCACTCCTCAAGCACCAGCACATCCACCCTTCGAGAAGCCCAGTGAGTGCCAGGAGCCGGGCCAGGCCTTCCAAGGTCACGCCCACTTTTCCCAGCACCTTTGGAGCCACAAAGGGGAGAGACCCTTCTCCTGCAGCCAGAGCTCAGAACTCATCCAGCACTGAGAGTAGCCAGGGCAGCCTGGCAGGACCATGGAGGGAGATGAGCCTACAGGAAGGCTCCAGAGGGAGGGGTTCCTGTCTACCCAGCATCCCTCTGGAGAGGCTGTGTATGCAGACATTATGGAAGCATACCTCTACTCGCCTTTTGGTGTCTGGCATCTCTGACCCAGCATCATGTTTATGAGGTTTGTATTAGGGTTTCATTTCGGAGTAGTGTCCTGTGTATGGATGAAGCACACTGTGTTCACCCATCATGTCAGTGAACACTGGGCATTTTCCCCTTTTGGGTGTCTGTGCTGGCCTGTGTAGGACTCATGTCTGTATGGCCCCACTTTAGCACACAAGCTGCCACATTTTTAATACAAAGCAACAGAAGGTGAATGAGAAGAAATGGCAGATATATGGACAGTGAAAAATCAGAGAGGCCTGTCCGAGCGTCAGGAGGGTCCTGAGGACAAGGCAGAGGGAGGGCAGTGTCCTTTGCAGAAGGGAAGCACATGGGATGCAGGGATAGAGGGTGGAGGAAGGTGAGGGGATGAGTATGTTTTACTACCCTCTCAAGGAGGCCTGGTGTGGCACTACAGGATAAGTACTGGAATGCTAACCATAAGGTCAGTGGTTTAAATCCACCAGTTGCTCCTTGGGTGACTATGCATTGGAACATATTCAATGGCACCTAACAACAAGGCACAGCCAGCTCCATGTGACCCTAGCCCCTCAAATGTTGCCCATACACATCAAAGGAGGGGGCAGGGCTCAACGATGAGATGACTAAGGTCCAGGGGACTCTCCCTGTGAACTCTAGCACCAAAGACTCTATCTGACCCTCCAGGCACCA